GGGGGGGGGGCAACAGTGCAATGGCCAACTTCAGACCAGTGATACAAACCTGCAAGACATCATTAGCATTGGTGTTGCTTCGCTCCTGCTGGAATTGGCCTTTCTCGATCACCAATTGCTCAAGCTTTAACTTACTAAAAGCTCTTTTCAGAATCCGGCCCTAATAAGGCACACACAAAGTTGCAAGATTTAAGTCCTCCGTGTGCAGAGAACAAGACAACATATACTTCGTGAAAAAGCACAGGCTTCCAGTGACTTACCTCAACAGATTGTGCTGTAGAAAGCCTGTACACATGAACAGGTTTTGTCTGACCAATCCTGTGGCATCGATCCATTGCCTGTAGATCCATCTGTGGGTTCTGGAAAAAAAGGCAAGACTTCAACCAGTGTGCCAGGGCTAGACTTCAATGTGGATGGATAGAAATAGTAATAGCAAAAAAAATCCAGCCAGTCAAAAGAGAAAAGAAGGGTGAGGAACAAGATAGAAGAAGTACCCAATCACTGTCATACAAAATGCAGGTGTCAGCAGATGTAAGATTAATCCCTAACCCGCCAGCTCTAGTACTAAGAAGAAATATCCTATACCGGCTGTCCACATCATTGAACTCTTGAATCTGGTGAAAAAAGTCCACATTGAAAACAGAATACCCCAAACAAAATAGTACTATAAAATCTTTGCTTGTATAAAAAATAGACAATGTTATGTAATATACCTGTCGTCTTCTTTCATCCAATTTAACAGAGCCATCAATTCTGCAGACTTCAAAACCCTTTTGACTAAAATAGTACTCAATTATGTCTAACATTCTAGTCCACTGAGAAAAGATCAGAACCTGGGGTGTCAGCAATGATTAAGAGAGAGTTAGAAGGAAAGAAAACAAGAATTCTAAGCTAAAAAACAAGAAATTGAAGAAGCACATCAGCAGTGAACAATTTGTACACATTTTAGCAGTTCGTACCTTGTGTTTTCGATCCAGCAATTTTCCAACCACTTTATCAAGTAACTGAAACTTTCCACACTGCCCAACTATTTGCTCCACAGGTGGGAAGAAGACTAACCCCAGAAAAAGTAAAGATTAAGATTGGCAAACACCTGTTGAGTTCTGAGGTATATGTACCATAAATTGAAATTAACGTACAAGAATCATCAAATTGAGACTCTAAGAGGTCAGGGTGGTTGCAATTCTTCCTAAGTTGAATCATGAGATTGTTGAGTTTTCCTCTGAAACCAGCACGCATTCCTGCATATACACTACCATGTTATAGCAAAATATAATAGAAGGTCCTTCATGCAAAAATCAAATACTACGTAAATAATAAGCTGCCATAAAAGAGCTATTTGATGCTATGCTGTGTAACCAAGCATTCCCAGCAACATAAAACTGTTAACATTACCATTTACCACATTCTCAATAAGATGGCCTTCCAGTGTCTTATTAATGAGATGCTCTTGGAAATTCTTCTGGTGCTCAGTCATTGTGGCATATAAAATTATTTCTTTCTTACGTGGGAGCATTTGCTCTACATCTGCCTTAATTCTTCGAAGAAGAAAAGGGCGCAATATTGCATGGAGTTTTGCCACCACCTGAATTACTCAAATGTCACCTTTTGAAGGGAATAATTTCAGCTTTGCATAGGAAGACAAGTATAATGTATTCTAAGCATACTTGAGCTTTTCTCATCTCTACCAAATTCTCTGTTGAATCTTCACTATTTGTCTTTCCGCAGAAATCAAACCTACATAGTCAAGTATGAAAGTCAGTTGTGTTAAAACGATAAGATGGAATGTAAGACACAGAGAAGGGTACCGTATCAGGAAATTTAAAATGTGCTGCACAAAAGAGGGAAAAACTAGATAACTGCATTCCAATGATTGCAACACATTGTGAAGTCAAGAAGAAAAAGTGTACATATGCAACTAGGTCAATAAGATAGAAATTCATGTTAGAAATATGGACATATACTAACTTTAATACAAGACTGTAATATACATATTAGTTTATTACCATGCCTCAAATTCTTCATGGGATGAGAAAATATCTGGTAGAATAAAATTCAAAAGGGACCAAAGTTCTGCCAAGTTGTTCTGGAGAGGTGTTCCCGTCAAGAGGAGCTTATTCTCTACAGGTAAGAGTTTCAATTCCTTCAACAATTTGCATTTTGAGTTTTTCAGTCTATGCCCCTAAAACAAGAAGGAAAACTTTAAGTTCATAATACACATGTTACTAGACATCATAAAAAAATTTACTTTTTGCAACCTCATCAACCACAAGATATTTCCATGTATAATGCCGCAAATACTTTCTTGCATCAGCCATTGCAACTTCAAAAGATGTGATTACGATTGGGAATTCGGGACCAATTGCCTTTGGCATGTGCTTCCTTCTTATCGTGTCTCTTTCCTTCTTGTCACCATGGTAGATGATTGCATTTATTGATGGTGTGAACCTTGATATTAATTTTTAAAAAAAAAAACAAATTAAGATATGAAGCAGATAACTTTAAAAGGGAGTACAAGAAGTATTTTAAAAGAACGAGAAATGTGTCAATTACCTATTAATTTCATTCAACCAATTGGAGAGAGTAGAGAGAGGGGCAATGACAAGATAAGGCCCATCTAAACCATTTCCCTTTAAGTGTGCAAGAAAAGAAATCGTTTGAATTGTTTTTCCAAGTCCCATTTGATCAGCAAGGATTCCATTCAATCCATTTTGCCATAGGGAGATCATCCATTTCACTCCTTTAATTTGATAAGACTTCAACTTCCCACCAGTCAACAATGGTACAAGATCAGATTGTTCCTTTTCAGCTCTCTCCTCTTCAGTCAGGGATGAATAGTCTGAAGATTCACCTTCTTTAGTTCTTGTCAGCATTGCTGCAACAGCTCTCTTTGTCTTTCTCTGAAAGTAGGAAGATTTTATTAGGGAAAACAGCAGAATATCGATAGACCTTATGCACCTAGTGTCATTCTCGAGCAGAAATGGAGAACGAAAAAACAGAAACTTACATTGTAAGTTGTGGCTGCTTTTCTTTTCCTACCACATCCTCTCTTACTTTCCTCGGCTGGCTTGACTTCATCTTCTTCCACTCCATTCTGTGGCACACATACACACAAAAAAATCCCAAATAAGAAACATAGGACAACAATTCAATGTTCCACATAAGAAACCGCAGGATGACAATACCACAGTGATATCGTCCATTTTCTCGAGCAGAAATTCCGAATAAAGTTGGGTCTGAGTGAGAAGTTCGTCCAGTTTTGAGAACTGAGTTTCGTTCAAGTCAACTGCCTTCTTTTCCTCCACACTTTCTTCTTCCTCCTTCCCACGGTTTCCCAAAAGCACCTCTTCCTCCTTCACCATGGATTCCGATACACAAGAAGAATCCCCATTTTTTGCATCTAAGAATACTTCTTCCTCCACTTTGACCTGTGTCTCCTTGGAAGGATTCTGCAGGCAGCAACATTTACAGAGAACCAGGCACATATTAGTAAAAACCAGTAATCCTAGACACTCTAATTAGGAAGAACATAAAAAAAACATAAGAAATAAGAAAAACGAAAAGACCAAAACAGAAACCTCATCCTCGAGAACAGAAGTCGGAGAATCTGCAAGCGGTTTGCCCATATCTCCGTTCCCCATCTCTTCCATAGCCATTCCTTCTTCACAAACAAAATCGAGTCAAAACACCGCCGCAAAAGTCGGGAAAAAATAAGAGAAAAGTAAATCTCCTTTTAGCATCACCAGAAAGTGTCTTGAAAATGGAAGAACTGGAAATTAGGGCACAAAACTTGAAAATTCTTCGGACAAAATTTCAAATTTCTTCTCCAAAATTAAAAATTAACATTAATAAAAACATAAACCCTTACCAGGAATGGTGGAGTAAATCAAATGGGTTTCAAAACTTACAGAGAGAAAGAAAGGAAGAAAATGGAGGCAATATACTATGGATGAAAACAGTGACTCTTGACTATTTCTGGGGATACTAAAATTAAAAAAAATACAGTAGTAATATCTTACGGTAAAAACTACAAATGATAGTGTCAGAAGCAAAGGCGGGAAACGCATCGGTTTTACAGTACGCGTTAGGGGTGGGCACCTATGGAGAGAGTCCGGATTTTAGGTTGTCCCGCGTTTAGTCCCGTTATATACAAACGGTCCGGAACGATTCGGATTATAATCTTATCCCGGTTTGTCCCACAATATTCGAGATCGGAACAAAACGGGACGGATTCGAGTCGTCCTACTTTGTCCTAATCGCAAATATAAGAAGGGAGAGAAGGTGACATTTCATTCAAAAAAAAAAACATCTAGTCATCCAATAGAAAACAATGAGTGAAACGGGACCAAATAAATTTAATAAACTTTGAGCTGAAATCTCAAGCCTATGAAGTTAACTTAATTAATTAATTAAAGAATGAATGTATTTGAATTTTGGACTAGAATTAGTATTATATATTAGTAAAGTAGATGAAACGGGACAAATGGGACGGATCAGTATAAATTTAAGTTGTCCCGCTCATGTCCCATTTAATATTAGGACGGAACGGGTTCGGGATAAAAAAAAGTGTGTCTCAATTATTCAGAATAATTACAAAACGAATATGTGATTTTTCGGAACGGTCCAACGGGAACGGATTTCACCCCCACCCCTAGTACGTGTTTTGTCACAAGACGGTTGCTAATTTGCGGAAAGGCCACTTCATTTCTTTAAAAAGATAAAGCTACTTGTACCCAAATCTTTTGTATCCTACTTTGTACCCCGCAGGTTTGCACTAACATTTTGTGTTGGTGTAAATCTAATTTTTGTTAACGCACCAATACTTTATATCCGTATAAATTTTTGTTAACGCACCAACATTTGTGTCGGTGTAAACCATCAAAATGTTTGTGCGTAACTACGATATACAAATGTGGTATAATTTTTTGGTTTAAATGTAGCGGTGTACAAGGGTCTTCTTATATCCAGCCACATGGTCACGAAAGTAAATTTAACTTTAATCATAAATTAGAGTCATAGAGGGAACTTTGCAGGCAGTAGTCGTAGAGACTTTATACTTAGGATAATTATCTTCGAGCGCAGCTGCCATGGCCCAAACTCGGATATACTCTCATTCACTCTATACCTTCATCGTCTAACGATGTTCATTTCTTTGAGGTCAACTTATTTTTTTTTCTTTTTTCTTATTATTATTAAAATCAGATTAAATTAGATCGAAACAGATAAGATCCAGATCAGATCCAATCAAGAATTATTATTATTATTATTATTATTATATTATTATTATTATTATTATTATTATTATTCTTAAAAATAAAAAAGAATAAACTTTATAAACAAGTTAAATATAAAACAGAGAAAGTAATCCTTAATTATTAGATGTCACAAAAATTATTTTTAAAATATATTGACAAAATCAATCTAATTCTACTTTTAAAATACATTTTTATTGCTACTTGTAATTTTAGTTTCTAAAGTTTAATTTGGATCTTTTACTACATCGAGTTGATCAACTTTGATCATGACTTAAATAAAATTAACATTTGATATTCATATACGGAGTATATTTTAATGTAACTAAAATAATATTATATCTATTGTGTTATATTAATCATAAAAAGGTTTCGTAGTACAAAGCACACGCTGATATTTTATAAGGATGAGATAATTTAATAAAAATACTATCTCTTCTCTATATTGATTATCTAAATTTAATTACTTTTTAATGCATATATGAAATAAATATTTATTCTAATGTATATATGAGCTAATTATTAAAATATTAAATCAATATTCTTATTTCATAAAAAAATAATCATAAAATAAAAAATATTATTACATTATAATATGAATGATTATTATAATATATGAATTAACTAATTTTATTTCATTAAAAAATAATCATAAAATAAAAAATATTGATTTTATGAGAATATGAATTATCATTACAATTTTCAAATGTTATTATAAAGTCAAATCAATTTATTAATTTGAATTTTAAATCAAATTATTGAATCAGATCTAATCAGATCAGACCAGATTATATTATATCAGATCTACAAAAAATCAGATTAAATCAGAAAAAATAAGTTGAATGGAACCTGAACCTAAAGTCGTACTCAAATTAAACACTCACGCCGAAAATAATTAGGACCCGTTTGAATAATGTACTCCATATAAAATAGCACTCCCTAATCCGTAGTCTTATTTTGAATAATATATTCCTTCCCAAAAGAATTATAATATTCATTAGTCAAAAGTCATTGAAATTTTTATTTTTTGTGTATTTTGATTCATTATTAGATAAAATAAAATATTCTTGTCACCTTTGTTTTTGTAGAACAAGTTTTTAAATGTGTAGATTTTATTTTTAATTTTTACATCAATCTTTAAATAAAATGAATTTAAAGAATGAAAATCCACTTTGTTTGCGTAAAATGTAAACATTTTGGGACCGAAGAAGTAAAATATATATTGTTCTCTTCATTCTAAAAGAAGTTTTCTTATTTACTCTGACATCTAAAAAAATTGTATTTCTTTTTTTGGGAAAAAATGAGTAACTCACAAACTTTCTTTCTCTTCTACATAACTTTCAATCACATTTTAACATTTTCTTAAACATTATATCAAATTAAACCAAGAACCTTTTTTAGGATGAAGTGAGTATTTCCTTTCATCTATCACCTAATTTTGCTAATTCAATGCCAATACTAAATTTATTTTAGTGGGTGTGAGTTTAGGAAGTATTAGGTGAAAACTATATCAAAAACTATGTAACAAGATATGCCAATAATATTTTATTTTATCAAACAATCAGTGAAAATACAGAAATAAACTAAAAAGGAAATGAATACATATAGGAGTTAATTAAAAAAGACATAAATATGATTTCTAGCAGTTTTAATTTTTTTCATTTTTTTAAGAACAATTTTTTTCGAGAAATTGATGTCCAGTACCATCGGTTTTGTGATAAGAACTCACAGGTCTCATTTTTTTAAATAAATATACGTCGGAGTATCTTTAATTATCCGAAAACTAACTCCGGGAGGACATTTCGTCCATTCACAATGAATATTTTCGGCGTGGAGTACATGATGAAGTGAGTAATGATAATAATAGTACAAATAATAATAGTGACATATGCGGGAGACAATGATGAAGTGAGTAATGATAATAATAGTACTCCATAATAATAATAATAATAATAATAATAATAATAATACTAGCAATGATAATAATAATAATAATAGTAATAATAATAATCACAAGAATAATATAATAGTAATAGTAATAATAACAATACTTCAATAATAATAATAAAGGAAAAAGGAAAATTTCTCCAGAGCTAGTTTTTAGATATTTTAGGGTATCCGTAGTCGATCTATTTTTACAAATGACCCGACCTCGAAGTTATTTATACAAAATTGAGGGTATCTAACAATTATTTTTAGAAAGAAGATGATGGAAAGATAAAGGGAAAAATTAATTTTGACAGAGGGAGAAGTTAGTTTTCTGATAATAAAAGGTACCCTAGAATATATTTTTTTAAAAAAGATGAGACATGTGAATTTATATTACAAAACCAAAGGTACCCGATAGCAATTTTTAAATTTCTCTTGTAAACACAATTTGTCGCACACCATGTTCCAAATCGAAACTTGGGTTGCTGCCTCCGCACTAGAAGGTTGCATACTTTGGCCACATATAATTTTATCACTCCACATCATAGCTATTACACTCTCTATCAAGCATTCGTCAAATCTATCGCAACACAATACTTTATTTGTCTCAAAATATTCTTTAGAGTTTGATTTTTTTAGACAAACGGTTGCATACTTTGACTATTAATAAATGTGGATCGGAGTATATATTTGAATATATAAATATTACTCCATTCATCTCAAATTCATCTTCCTACTTCCATTTTTTAATTGTCCCAACATAAATTCCTCATTGCTTAACAAGAATTGAATAAGTGATCCATATTGATTCTCTCTCTTCAAAAATATGAACCAAATTATTTCATTTTTCATAAATAACGTGAAAAAATAAAAAGATTAATTTGAGACAGAGGGAGTATAAAATTTGATAAATCCAAACTACGTTTAAAAATAAGTTAATTTGTATTAAATTTGTATTATAACTGAATATATATTTTTTCCACAATTTATAGTAAAAAAACTATAAACATGACCAAAAAAGTCAAAATGTAAATATTTTTTATGATATTATTATTTTATAAAATGAGTAACAGATATAAGCGAATAAAGCATGAAAAAAATTGATAGTTTATAGTAAACGGGAAATTATTTTGTAACAAAAAGTCTTTACATATATTTTTAAACATCTCCATTATTTTTTTGACCTTAGGAAAAATAATCCAGAAAAGATTTAAACTTTACATAAATTAAATTAAATTAAAAGATTTTTTTGAAGGATGTAGGGACTAGGGAGTAATTGGCACTCCGCCACTCCCCATAGAGCACCGTACGTTGTGGGGGGAGACAGTCGTTTGGTTCAAAATTCAAATTCTTATTCTCTTCTTAATTGTCCCTTCTACCCATGCGGTCCTATGAATGTTTCTCTTTTGTAGTCGGTGCGCACGGGTCAGAATTGTTTGAGTTTATCTCGTCTCGCGTTTTGTTCTATTTTTTTCAATGATTCGGCCTACAAGCTTATCTTTCTTTGTCTCTTATTCGGAAACAAGATAAAACGAAATGAGTTCGGTTATCTTACTTTTTCATTGTCTGAAATTAGATATAAAAATATGGATAAAGCTATTTGTAGCCCAAGGATTTGTACCTCGTTTTTGGCATTTTGTACACCGCAGGAATGCACCAACATTTTGTGTTGGTGTAATGCTAATTTTTGTTAACGCACCAATACTTTGTGTCAGTGTAAATTTCTGTTATCGCACCAATACTTTGTGTCAGTGTGAACCATCAAAATGTTGATGCATACCTTTGGTGTACAAATGATGTACAAATTTTGAGGTACATGTAACATGCTCCTAAAAATATACCCCGAAATGTAATGGAAAAATAATACACATGGTGACATGGGGGAGGAAACTCATTTTTACTTGTAAAGTAATGGAAAAATGATATATTTATTTGAAATGTCTTAGAAAAAACTAAAACAATAAAGAAAAATGAAAAAATACTACAATATACGTCAATAGTCAAAACAATAAATTTCATAAAAATATGAGCCACGAACTAGGAGAGACCGTTCAGAACAGTCTTTATTTTTAGATGTTTTAGTCCGAAACCATTTTTTAGAATATTACAATCTAAATATTTCTTTGTATCTATGTTGAGAAAAATAAAAGTTGTGATACCTTTTTATGTTATATCATTAAAAAAATAAATAAATGTATAAATATGTACGGGACAACGAGACGAAATGGGAAAATATTGATGTGTCCTGATCCTGTTCCATTTTAAAATGGTTTAGAATGAGTTCGGGACAAAATTTTATCATCCCAAACAAAACAAGACATTATAGAGACGGGACTGAGATATTTCATATCAGGACAACAGGTTCATGATTCTTGCCCACCGCTACTCTTTTGTTTCCTAATCCCTTTTTGGTTTTTATTAAATTACTTTGTATTAAATTTTGATCATAAATTAAATAAAATTTATACTTAATTTTTTCCTGAAAAAATATTAATCACTATTTACAAATAACAGAAACTTTTTTCATTTGTGCATTTCGATAGATTATGTTACTCCCTCCGTCCCATTTTATAACGCCTGTTTTGGTTTACGATGTTTGACTGAAATTATTTTCAAATCATTTTATATGACAAATGGTATATAGTTACATCAAAAGATCTACAAAACAAGTAGTAACAATAGTATTTTATTTTATCAAATTACTAATGAAAATTGAGAAAGAAAGTGGATGAAGTTTGACTCTGTGAATAGTGAACATACATTATAATTTGGGATGGATGGAGTAGAAAATAAAATAATAGTGTCATATCCTGTTTTGCAAAACTTGTAACATAGTTTTTCAATATGTAAGTTTATTTTAAATTTATATACCAATCTTTCAATAAATTAATTTTAAAAAATTAAGAATTCATTTCGTTTTACGTAAAGTGTAAAATATTTTACGGAGTATGACGGACGGAGGGAGTACAAGAACAATTTTATTACATTTATATTATAAAGTATTTTAATATATTTTTTCATCAAATTAATATAATACATATTTTATTTAATTATAGCTCAAAAGTCAATCTATATTAAATACTCCCTCCGTTCTATAATGTTCTTCCCGGTTCTGTTTACGAAATTTGACCAACTTTATTTTTAATTCAATTTATTTGATTGTAGGTGTAAAATTAAAAAATAAAATTTATATATTTAAAAATTACATCAAAAGTTCTACAAAACAAGTGGTGACAAGACTATTATTTTATGAAATACCTAATGAAAATAGGTAAAGAAACTGATTAATGTTTGACCGTGTGAATAGTAAGTGGGAAGAACATTTCAGGACGGAGAGAGTATACAAAATCAAAACTAAGAAATATCCCAAGACCGAGTCACAAATGGAGTACTAAAATTTCAAATAACTTTGTGGATACGTCCTTTATAATATTAGTTTTTTCACATGTAATCCACAATAAAAAATATTACTCTCGCCGTCCAACAATGATTTGCCATATTTCATTAGATACGGAGGTCAAAAAAATAAAATTAAATTATGGAGTTGAAAGTGGTACAAAGGAGAGATTAATAATACTCTGTAATATAGAGGTTCAAATATTTTTCCGAAAACTGAAAGTAGAAGTGTAGAACCTTTAAATTATTTAAAAAATAATGTAAAGGTAGTACTATACTCACGAATCTCTATATCTAAAAATTATTCCACTTGTAAAATATGGAATGTTAAGTTTTAAAAATGACATATATTTCCTAATCGATGTATCTTTCTTTTAAAGGATTAAAACTTATTTTTATTTTGAAGGTAATTTGACTTAAAAAGATAAGAAAAATTTTAAACGGCATTTTTGTCAATTTATAGCTTTAAAAAAAGTGGAGCGCAACTAACATTTTTATTCTTGTAATTATCTACCTTGATAAATGAAAAATCACTCTCACTTGTCACCCGACTCGGTAATTCCTATTATGTTTTCAATTGTGAATGATAGGTGCATTTTGTCTAGTTTAACTTTTTTATATTTGACTTATAATTTAAGAAAAATTATATGATATACTAGTATTAATTAGATAAAAATATTTATACAATATTATAAGATGAACCTAATAAAATTAAGAAAATCACTTAAAATGGAGTAAAGTATACCCCCCTAACTTTTATGTCTAAAATAGAAGCGATATATTTTTATTTTCAAAATAAATGTTTGGATTGTAATAATATGACATTATATATTGACATTGCATAATATTTTTTTGGCATTGTATATTAACATTATTGATATTGTAGCTATTATTTTAAAAATACTCCCTCTGTCCCTAAACAAACTTCCCTTTTTGACTTTTTGAGGATTTAAGGGAGGGATATTTTTGTGTTGACTTTCCAAAAATACCCTTGATGTGATGTATAAAAGTAAGATGTGATACGTAGATTATTAGTAAAAAGGTATGATGTGATAGGTAGGGTATGAAAAAGTAAGGGGTAAAAGAGGTTTTTTAAGGGAAAAGAGAAGTTTATTTGGAGACAAAAAAACGAAAGGAGAAGTTTATTTAGGGACGGAGGGAGTAAAAGATAAAGCTTCTATTTTAATACTCCGTAATTCATGTTTTACTTAATTTAATTTTTTTAAAACTCGTATCTCATAAAATTATCATTTAAACATGACGAAAAAAAAACTAATAGTCCGCACTAGTGTGCGTCCTTGCTGTTAACTTTTTGATATTCTAGTAAAAAATGGCCATTTAGCTATTAAAAAAAAAGTATTTCCCGATGCTCAAAGGTCGTCGAGAGAGATTAGTCTTTGTCACTTCTCTTATCTCAATTTTTCTCAACTCCGCAGAACATCTCACATTTCTAATACTCTCTCTCTCTCTCTGTATGTTTCCCACAGTATGTTTTGACTACGTAGGAAAAAAATGGGTCGGTCATTTTAATCTATAGCACCAAATGATTAAACGCCAATTTAGTATGCTCAGTTTTAGAGAGATCAATACAACAAAGCCTAATTGCAATTCATTTCTGGCACTACCGATTCCAAATCCACATTTTTGTGCAAAATTCAGATTCTTGTCCCTAATTCCAATTCTTTCCATGTACCAAACAGACCCCTGAGATTGTCATAGTAGATTTTAAAAAGCAATCTTTGGATATTTATAGGATGTCCAGTCAGTAGGGAGTACTTCCAGTTTAAAAAAAAGAAGCAATCTTTGGACATTTAGTTCACAATAATTGCCTCAACCAAAGAACAATTCAACCAACTCTCAGAAATGTAAGTTTACCCAGATAAATACTAAGTTTCAGAAATACAAGAAAACTGCCCACCCACCCCCCATCGAATGAGTCTCTGTTGCACATCGGGGGAAGGGGGGGAAACTGCAGCAGAGGAGCGATAATAGCACCTCCGACCATCATCAATCAACATATGCATATAGTATTAGTAAAATAAGAACACACACCTGATGGTCTGTCTGTCTGTGTCTGCCTGCCTGCCTGCCTTCCTTTCAAAGTTGAATGCATTATCATTAACTACTAATGCTCATAATCATGAAAAGCAGCAGTCCTATCTGCCCGCCGATGCTCCTTCTCTGACGGGCGGTCGTACCCATAGTCTTCCTCGTCCTCATCCATCCGTTCACCGCGCCCAGAATCTTTGTAACGGTCGTCATCACCATCATCCTCTCCTCTCTCGTGTGCATCTGGATTATCATCATCATCATCAAACTCGCCGCGCCGGCTTTGGTGGTGGCGGTGGTGGTCGTAATCATAGTGTCCCCGGCGGTCCCCACCATCCGAACGCCGACCGTTATGCCCGCCTGTATAACCGGGCTGTTCATACCACCCTTCATCCTCGTGATCAAGGTTCCTCTCCTTCTCACCATGCCGGTCTTGTTCGTGATCATAATCATAACCTCGGTCGCGAGAACGACCGCGATCATTCTCAACATCAAAGTCATAGTCTTTCCCTCTGTCTCTATCTCTGTGGCGGTCTCCTCTTTCGCGTTCATAATCCCGGTCGCGTTTCTTCCCGCGGTCTCGGTCACGACCACGGTCCTTATCCCTAGAATCCCTGGTTCTCTCACGATCCCTATGGTGTCTCTCATCCCTGTGTTCGCGATCTTTTGGCCTGTCATGTGAGCGCTCACGAGACTTTTCACGTTCCCTCTCTTTTTCTCTAGGCCTCTCACGGGACTTCTCTCTGTCCCTGAAATATTGTGCCCATCAAGTCATTTAATGTATACACCGGGCATCATGTTCTTTTTAAATCTTCCGTTCAGAGAAAATGAATGTTACAAAAATATACTCCCTCAACAACCAAAAGAAATTACATTTACCATTTCTTGTCCGCCCCAAAATAAACTTTCCACTTTTTTTGTTGCCATAAAAAGTAGATGATTATAAATAGCTAACATTTCTCTCTTTAAACAAATTCTATATACACAATTCATCAACTTTCTTAGACTACATGAAGTCAAACCGTGTATTTCTTTCGGGGACGGAGAGAGTATTTATTTGGGTATGAAGAGAAAGCCACATACCTCTCTCGGTCATCTCGTATCCTTGGTTCCTCAGACCGAGATGTTCCTCCCGGTTGCACTTGCTCCCTGAACAATTGGAAGGCCAACATAAGTGTTGCTTATTCTTTTGAAGAACACAGAAAACATTCAATTTTAATGTGCAGGAAAAATGAAAATTGGGGTGAAGAGAAAGGTGGGGTTTGAAATTAAAATTCAGTTAGAAATAAGAGCTTTTTGCCAAGCAGATCACAAATTAAATATCAGAATCACATTTTCGGATATTGCATTTTTTGGTTTTGGTTTGCATGTAACTTGTTTGTAACTCTTTCTATGGCAAATTACATGAACAATCATCTTAGTCTGATGAAATATGAATCTTATTTTCAGTCAAAAAAAGCTTTCCAAACAACTTTTTTAAGGGATGAAAATATACTTAGCAATGTGACCCCTGTAATCGAAAGTGCATAAGTGTGTTTTCAGTGTATTTAAAATGGTATGCCAGATGTTGCAAAAAAAAATACTTACCTCCCAGAAGACTTCTGGCTAAGATCTTCAATTCCAACCCTCGTGGTTCCAAGTCCACCACCAAGCCTACGAGGCCGCCAATTCTGGACTGTTCTACCCCTTTCAACATCAACAAGCACCCTTCTATTATCGATCTTCTTCCCATCAGCTTGTTTGTATGCAGCTGAAATGCGTGCAAGCGCAAAATTAGTAAAGAAATCTTAATAACAATACAATCAAATGGAAAAAAAACATATGGAGTAAGATAAGATTGTGAAGAATACAACCTTTCATATCCCGGCTATGAACATACTCAATAAAGGCATAACCTCTGGGCTTGTTGTTTGTCTTGTCTGTAACCAGACGAACCTGAAACTCAAAGGACAACAAATAAGCAATCACCCTAAAAAATAAATAAAAACAAATATACAAGCCAACAATGAGGCTATCACACTTTTTTGTTTCCATGCCATTAAATATTTTAACTAAAGCCCTAACGGCACGGCAGACAGGCAAATATGCCTCATTAGCCGTGCTCACCTTTGATCAAAGAGCTCCAGGCAATAGGCATCACCGTCACTTGTAGAGTAGCAAAATACTGTGGAGAATTAACTGTTCCCATGCACTCTAGTTTGATAGTTTCCCCTTACCCGGGAATGTTTTGGGAATAAATAAATAAATAAAACTAAAATAACATATGAAATACCAGCCTCCCGAAGTGCAGAAACTTTTTTGATTGCCTTTAAATCCAAAAATAAAATTTTAGTAGCAGTAATTGGACATATGAAGAGTTAAAAAGGATAGAGATGTTTATACTCCCTACAATTTTTACCCTTGACCCAGCGCAGGAATAGTATGATTCTCTCTTGGTGCTCCAATAGGGCCAAAATGCACAATGCATCAATGCCTTGGCTCAACTTACAAGGGTCAGCTTAGTTTTGCAGGATGAAGGAAAGTCTTCAGGACTAGTGGCCCATTTTAACAAGGATTCATAAGATACCATGAACACAGTACTTATCCTTACCAATAATATTACCTACCAGCTGAACCCTATCAGAGTCATCTACTTAGCTAATAGAAAGGCATGACCAACAAGAAGATTTTCAAGACTCAAACATACTTGAGAACATTATTCAAGAGAACATTTTTACCTGAGCGAGGCATAACAAATGTAATAAATTTATTTCTCATAGAGTGAGGCACAACTTGGGGAAAATAAGGTAGCGAAAATCAAATTGCATGAGAAAAAGCTTCTACTTCCTCTGTTCCATAAGAAGAACCATGTTGCAACAAGGTAACTTTTTTATTTTAGCAAGGAACAATAATTGGAAACAATCAACTGTAGTTTTTATCAATTCAGGTGTTGGTTTCGCCATATTTTCTATACACAAATTGTTTAAGAAACTTTTTTATTATAAAAGTAGCTTCTTGTTTTAAATAGGACACTTGGGACAAAAACAATTTTTTTAAAGTGGACTTTTATTGGGACTTTTAAGTAAAAGTCATCAAGGAGAACATGACATATATATACATGTGTGTGTGCACAGTAAAATGAAGAGATACAGTAAATTTCAAGGCATCCTAAGAACTGACACGGACATAAAACCAAAACAAAATCATGACTGACCATTTGTTCAATGTATAATGGTTTGAAATGTTTTTTTGAACAATTTCATCACAACATTCAAATTATTGTTGACCATGAGCAAAAAGATTTAGGAAATTTGCCATTAATTAAAGTTAATTTTTCAAAAACAAAACTAATATAGATTTAGAAATTGGGCATATGAGCATACCCACCATCATTAACAGACACAAGACTGATACCATGTAATTCATCAACTTGTGGTGGAGGATAGGGGAAGAGGAATCAAACCATATAGATGTTACCTCTTACCAACTCAAAACCCAAAAATTGGAACCACCCATCGGGTTCTCAATAATACCTACCCTCTTTATAGGACCATATGCCTCAAATTCCCTTTTGACTCTGCTTTCGGTTGTCTCATAGTTCTGTTAACAAAAAACAATGATCAAATAAGTCCTAAAATATGAATGTAGCTTTAAGTTCTTTAAAAATAACTTATAATAGTAAATACTCACAAGTCTAGCCACAAACAATGTCTTGTACGGATCTCCGGTAGCATTTGGATCATTATTTGGATCATCTGCAAGAATATTGAATACTTTCAAATATCATACTCAAGTACTTATTTGGAGAATAAGTAGCAAGAAAACACAGTATACATTTTTCAAGCTCTTCAGCAGCCTTCTGGGCACCCTTTTCGAGTCGCATCCTGTGAATCCTAGCCCTTCTCTCTGCCTGTTAAAATCAAGGAATTGAGTGCACATAAACAAAAGATACTCAGGAGCTTCACGCAGAAAACTAATCAGAACGCGAAAGAAGTTCAAGCATACACAATTTGCAGTACTTTACGAACTTCCCTTGCAATTTGTAAACAACTTATGGGAGCCATATAGATATTCTGAAAATGAATGACACCCGCTGACCCACTGCACCTAACTTAAATCCTAGTTGACTATTTTTATTAATGGCTATGTAATTTTGAAATATCATATTATTATAATATTGCTCCGGTAAAATTGATATTATCATAATATTGCTCCCCAACCCTTCACATATACAGCTGCCATCTGTCGATCCAGGGAGGAGCGATCCAGGGTGGCCATGGTGGGGGTTGGGGGGGTTTTAATGGGTTAAGGAAGTAAGAACTATCAATTTTACGAAAAGAGCATTGTCGGTGCCCCAAATGTGTTCTTGTCATTATATAACAACACTTGTTGTCAAATGAAGGGGCCGATATTACAATGATTTTATGCACGGATATATAGTTCCTCCCTTCCAAATTAATCACAATGGTCAAAACTATACACTATTCACCCTCACTCTTTGACAAATGACCAAATTTTGTGATTCACATGTAAGCAAAAAATATATTCAAATGGATTCTCGATAGATTCATCACAATAAAAATTTTCATAATATCAATTTTATAGCTCTTACTAAAACATGATTGAAGATAATAATGATTTAATTTGTGAATTGACAAGAATGAAGAGCAAGTTTTGCTATTATATACAAACTTTCGGAAGTGATGGAGTACATATTAATGATCAAAGTGTTGAATTAAGAAACTGAGAAACCCCAAACCCAAGTTTTAAGCAGTGGGTGAAAATATAATGATAAAAACTGCAAATATTACGACAAACCTTATCATTTACTCCCTCCATAACCTTTTAATCTTCCCCTTCATTATTCACAAGATCAAAGTATATTTTCTCTCCCCTACTCACTTTTTCTAATCATCTGTGAAACTAAAATAGTCATGTTACCTCTTTTTGGGAAAAACTTTTTATTAAGATTTAATCATATATATAGTAAATTTTATTTTAAAATTTTACATCATTATTTGAATAAAATGAATTCAAAATGGTTTAATAGAGATAGAAAGAGTGCGCAAAAATGATTTTACTGCAAAATGGAAGTACTTAGTAGAAGATAACCTGAAACTACAAGTGTCTTAACCATCTACTCCAGAGAGAACCACAATAACTAATTTAAAATTTTACATGCAGCAGCAGTTTTTGAAAGAGTTTATCATACCGGAATTTCCACCTCCTTGACAGGTGGAGCATACTCATCATGCTCAGCAAAGTGTTTAACAAATTGAGACATACCTAGAGCACAACATGATTTCAATAATAACTCAAAAATTAATACAAAAAAGCAGTACAGTGACTAGGAACAGGCAATAGAAACCTGAATATGGAGGGCATTTTCTCTTCTCAGGAGGTGGTTTGAATTCCAAAGGTGGGCGAGGTTCAAACAGTTTTAGCAAATTATTTGTCAATCCAGTTGGGTGGCTTTGACCAATCTGCATTGCAATTAAGCAGATTACAAGGATAATCTATAACACTATCACACAAAGAACATAATACTCTGCATTGTTAATTTGGCATTCATGAAAAAAACAATGTCAAAACCGGTTTCAGTCATTGGAGAAAAAAGTATAATCTGTAACCAGCAGCTGCTTCTATGCAAAAGCAAAGCAAAAAGGCTCAATTGTCATGTTGTCTACGATATCCATTACGCATTTAACTTTCAGTCAGGAAAATACAAATACCGAACCAATAGAAACATAGCGAAATAATTGTCTACAACGAAAAGGAACTTAAAAAAAACATATCAAAAAAAGCACGAATCAAATCGATATGAACTCACTTGGATTTAACACATAAAAAAAGCGCGAGGAAAAGCAGACCATTGAAACGAGTGCAAAATAAAAACATACCAGCTTGAGCTGCATAACGTTCGCACGGTTTTGGGCCTTGGCGCGAGCCTGAACGGCGTTGTTGTTGTTGTTGCGCATGAATGGATCGTTGGGATCTCCCATCGCCGGCGATGAAAAACAGAACGCCTAGGGTTTTCTAAATCTGTGTCGCTATTCAAGCTACGGCGAGGCGTAAGCGTTTCTGGTGCACAGATTTGGAGGGGATTGATTCGCAAATAACGCTGTCCTCTTTGCTATCTATCGTATGGATCCGATCGATCGCAACAGTGAGAGCGGCGGAAGGGTTTTGATGCAAAATTAGGACGACCAATCCGTATAAATACGGAGGTAATAATTTACCTCTTCATAATGTTTTTCTACTCTCATTTTGTAATTAATAATTCGATCGTATTGATTTTGCACTGTAAAATATAATCTGAGTTGTCTATAGTTTATGATAAATTTTCTTAAGTTTTTCGTTATCTAAAATATATTCAGTGAGGCATTTAAATTTATGGTGTATTTTACCTATTTGACTATTAGAATTGAAAGTTTTGTTGATGTCACAAAAACTTTTTTAATTTGATAAACATTATTTTATTAAATTTAAATAAAAAATTTTAATTTGTCAAAGTATAGAAATCTTCAATCCTAAAGCCTTAAACTAAACAGTAAGATATATATATATATATATATATATATATATATATATATATATATATATATATATATATATATATATATATATATATATATATATATATATATATATGATTAATTAGCTTATTTGAAAGTTTTATGATGCATCTTAGATGAAATATGGAAATATTTTCAAATATTAAAAAACACATAAAAATATCTAATTTAAACTGTGAAAGTCTAAAACAAAATGTGGTTATTATTTAAAAATGATACATATAATACGAGGCAAAAAGGTATACAAGTGATGAACTTTTTTAGGACACTCAATAAGAGAAAGTGATAAAAAATTGGGCAAGATTCCCATGACATTGGTTCCCAATGTCATGGGAATCTTGGTGTAAAAAATTTACCCTTTTGGTCTGAATTTAATTATTTTATTTGTAAACTTTATTTTCGATATGCGAAAAGAATACATTATGTTTCAATATAAACTAGATTTATATACCGGTACGTTTGGGAGGGTGAATATAAATTCCCTTTGATATTGCAATTGGGAGAGAGAGAGAGGGGAGGAGGGGGGTGTGTGTGTGTGTGTGAGATTCAGATCATTTATTATTTGGAGTGGATGATGATGCATGGCAAAAGGGCGGCCCAGATTTAGATTGCTAATGTGTCTATGAGAGTGGGCTTGGCGAGGCTAATGAAAGAATTAAAAAAAGGAAATTGGGCCGGTATAAAGCAAACTAGCCCAGAAATGGAGCAGCATTCATTGCTACTACACTTTCCAGACGGGGGAGTCAACAGAAGCACGAATTGGGTATGTCATACAAATGTCATACTCCGTAATATTAGCTGAATTGAAATTATTACAGAGTACGTAGTATTATTTATTACATTTATTATTGTTATTTAAAAAAAATGAGAAACAGCATCCGAATGAGTACTTGCCATCTGGCATACATCAACCAGGAAATGAAATCAAAATGTTATTTAATTGAAATAAAAGAACACGTGACAATTCACATTCATTGTACAAGTTCTCGATGAGGAGGAGGTCACTTTGACCGGACGACGACGTATCACTCTCTCTCTCTCTCTCGCTCCGTTTGCCCACACACGCACATTGCTTCCTTCCTTCCTTTCCATATCACAAGAAGAAGAGAGAGAACACGGATTATCCATCAACCCATATACAGGCCGCCGGGTCAATTTTTGATTTCTTTCTCTTTCTTTCTTTCTTTCTTTTTTTTTTTAAAAAAAAAGAGAGGAGGGAGCTACGTTAACTGTTGAAATGCGCGGGGGGTGGGTGGGCAGGATGTAGGGTGTGTTTAGGGATGGGTGGGAGGGGGGTTTCCCTCCATTTAAAATCAAATCCCATTTGAAATCATCAAAAGAGAGCAAGCAAGCAGCAACTTCCTAACTGCCATTTGAATCGATTTTGGAGGGAGAGGGAAGTCAAATGATCATTTAGAAGAAGAAGAAGAAGACCAAACGAACCAAAGTTTTGAACCAACCTATGTATAGAGAGAGAGAGAGAGAGAGAGAAAGAGAGAGAATCCCACCCTACATCATCCATCCACCATCATCATGTTTCCCTCCAAAAAAAGTAATAGATAGAGATAGAGAAAGATATAATTTTGGTCCCGCCCAAAAAAATCCATTAACACACTCTAATTAAAAGCTCCCAACTCTCATCTCCTCCACAGTCTCTCTCTCTCTCTCTCTGCTCTGTCCTGCACTCTCTCTCCCCTGCCATTGCTGTGAAGGTGGAGGAGTTGACTTTCCTCCTTTCCCTCCCTGCGTGAGAGCATATTACACATCTTCCCCTCCATTGCTGGCTGATGTCATCAAACTCCCCTACCTGCACTTGCCATTCTCCAACACCCCATCATCATCATCGTCATCGCCATCATCATCATCGTCACTGCAATCATCAACATCATCTTCTTCTTCTACATCTGGATCTCTCTTCCTCTTAAAAGATGGCATCTCATGGACTTCATCATCATCATCTTCTTCTTCTTCTACATCTGGATCTCTCTTCCTCTTCAAAGATGGCACCTCATGGACTTCACCATCATCATCATCATCATCATCCTCTCCATCTTCTTCCTCATGCATCATCCCATTGGCAACTACAGAACCAACTGGTTGAACTAAATATCCAGCTCCGTTATCTTCTTCCTGACATATCAAAATTCCCCACCATCAGCTCTATATCAGTTTCATATCAAAATCCAGCATGGCTATAAAAGAAAACATTTCTGTTGAAAGACGTGTAATCAATTTTTTTAAAATAAAAATAGCATTCTGTAAAAGAAAAAAATATTCCAAAATCACAATTTCAAATTAAAAACAAATCAATCAAAGATAGTCAATGCATCAAATAAGCACAACCCTGCCATTACATAGCCCCCCCCCCCCACACGTGCCGCAAGGAAAAAGAAAATAACAAGACATCATAAAACAGTTTTCCAAATATGATGGGAAATAAAGGTCAAACCATGGTAGGATTCACAATTTTAATGATAGAAATACTATTCTAAAACAATCAGTTTCAATTGCCCAAGTGGTAGGATTCTCAAATGTGATACATGAGGTCATGTGTTCGAGTTCCATCTCTAACACTTCAAAAAAGTATTTAAGGTCTTTTTTTTTGGAATGTGTATTAATACTCTATGCCATACAAAAAAATAAAAACAGAAAGCAGTAGCTTAGTGGTTTAAAAGAGCTTCATATATCCAAGAGGTTTTGAGTTCAAACCCCACCTTAAATGTTTTTTGAGTTCGAATCCCACCTTTAAAAATACTCCGTATAATTTGGTAAAAAAAGATTTACTGCTTCCATGTATTACTGGCTAGTTAAACCATATCAACTGCCCTTGTACAAATTATCATCATGTGTAAAAAAATAATACAGATGTGAGTTGAGTCACACAAAATAGATTCATTATATAATAAAAGAAAAAAAAAGAGCTCAAATAACCATCCCTATGTGCCACACTGGGGAATACTAAAATGGGAATGGCATCTTATTTTCAGATCCAACAGCATTAAACACAGATGCCTAAATGCTACAAAGTATTATAAATAAATGCTTCACTTAAAACATGCGATGTAAGCACAATGTTCTCTCCTAGATCATATTGTTGGATGCAACTCACATTCATTTCTTTCAAATGTACAGCAAATCAAATCAAATGGTGGCACATCGAGAATCCTCTTCCAAACAGAGATGATGATTCTAAGAATGCAATGCTCCAAGTAAAAAGTGAAACTAAGATCTAAATTACAAGGTGGAGCAAATTTATGGACTATATAGATCACGCTAACAACAAGCCAACAACCTCTACTAATTAGAGCACGCAATCAAATCAAATCAAATCAGAGCAGTAAATGAATTACTGGCAGGTGAAAAAATGACACTGACAAACGGAAGTGTAAAAAAATCACAGATCTAACAATTACTTATAAGCACACTAAAGATTGTAAATATATGAATTGTACCACACATGAAAAGTGCTATATTGTAGAGAGGAATTGGAATTTAAGGAGGGAAATATGATTCTTACCTCATCATCAGAATTCTCCTCACCAGTCTCTACGCTATCGTCCTCATCACTATCACTATCTTCTCCATCCCCATCAATCTCTCCCTCTGTGCTAGCAAGCACATCGGTACTTTGTTTTTCCCCGAAGTCATCATTGTCCACTTCCTCTTCATCTTCAACATCTTCATCATCGTCATCATCATTTTCATCATCATCCACAACATTATGAACCTCCAACACATCGTCATCATCATCTTCTTCATTATCAACATCATCCTCTTCATCCCAATCACTGTCTTCATCATCCTCCCCTCCATCCTCATCATCCTCATCACCTGCTACTCTAACACCATTTGGAAGATTATGTGTGCGATTTGGACTAGTCTCGCTAGCCCCTCTAGAAGTATCCAGTTCTGCATCTTCAGCATCGCTCTCGTCATCGTCCACCTCAATCACTCTGTCATTCCAGGATTGGCGTCCATTGCATGTGGCCCTATGGGATCCATCCTCACAATCAACTTCCACGCTCCCGGTATCGTAGTCATCCTCCTCCTCCTCTGACTCCTCATCATCCTCCTCATCATCAGACTCAGGCCTCTCATTCCCTTCTGCATCAGTTTTATCGAGGAACTTCAAGGACTCTACCAGTCCCAAAACACTGGATCTATAATCCTTAACCCTTGTCACCGGACACTCGTACAGATCGAGAGAAACAAGCTTGAGCTTTGCCAGTGGACTAAGATCCCTTACATCCTGAATCCGGTTGTTTGACAAATCTAGGTCCCTAAGCGAATGCAAACCGGCCTTAACGAGGAACTCCAGACCTCCGGAGATTCTATTGTCGGATAAAATCAACTTCTGCAAGTTCTGAAGCCGAGGAAAGCGTTCCAAAGAGGAGACGCCTATGCTTGCAATCGACAAATGCCGGAGGTTCCGGAATCTCTGGAAAATCGACGGCGGAGGCAAGCGGCCGTGAACGCACTTCACGACACCGTCCATGGTCAAACTCCGGACGGACGACGGATCCGTCTGGCCTTCCAAAGCAGTCTCCACGGCTTTTTCCCAAACCTCATCCATCGGAGACGATCAATGCGCACACAAACACCTGGGAACAATTATTCGATCTAATCGAAAACGCATGTAAGTTATTCGACTATGAAATTGATTTGGAGTTCGGGAACGATAAAACCCTCGGTTTTCAGGAATCGTCGAAGAAACGCGTGTTTCTCCTTCTCACTCGAGATTGTAGAAGACGAGAGCCGATAGGATAACTCAGGCATCCGTTCGGGTGTGGTCGAGTTAACCTAGCCTAACCATGGTGGGAGGCTGCATTTGTGTTTGTTTTGATGGGTGTATCTCACCGTACGATTCGAGTTTTGCGGATCGATGACGTGGATTAGAGATGGACGGTCCAGATCTTAGCTTATTGTGTTTCTTGCTGAGAAAGACGTCTTTAATGTCCATATTTCCCCCACTACCCGACAACGGTCCAATTTCCGTGTGTGAAAAAAAATACCCAGCCCAGCCCACGACAGTTAATCTGTTACCCAATAATAGCCCTCCGTGGGCCCAGAAATGTTGAGCTCAGCCCACCACAGTTAAATTTATGAAGGACTGTCTAGTAAAAAATGTTTTGGGTCTACCAAAAAGTATATCCTAAGTGTGTTCTAAAGTCTTTCCACCATAGAATCCAAATCTAATTAAAAATGCTCCGTATTAATGAATGGATGAAGAATGGTTGATGATGTTGGGTGTACCCTTAACATTACTCTTATCTAATAGATCTTGGACATAGTTCTGTTTTCGGAATTGGACCGGAACCTATGGGCAAGTAAGAAGAACCAAAATTGGAACTTTTTTGAGTGATACTAGGACCAATTTTGCTAGTCATTTACTATGCATTAACTATTTCACAAGTAACAACTACATTTAAATAAATATTTTTCATTTTTGCACCAACTACATTCATCATGGTCCCCTATCTGCAGTTCCAGAACCGACGATTCTAGAACCAAATTGGCTCAGAACCGTCTCGGGGCCACACGTATCTAGTACTTCTTTTGTCTGAAAAATAAGTTCTAAAATTCCACACGGTGAGATAAAAAGCAAGAAGTTTGGTGTATGAGGTGTTTGGACAAGAGCCACAAGTCTGAGTCCTTATATTGCACATCTGGATGTACAGTGTCTTTTGTTTTTTGGTGGATACTTATTTATGGACAACTAAATACTCATTTCGTGTATTTGTTTACATTAGTTGTCTATCTCTCGAATACACATTTCACATATTTAGTTGGTAGTATTTGTTCAAAACATGCGCATTGTAAAATAGATGTATGCACCATTTGAGAACTACATAATTTTCAAAATGTTTGTACAAAATGTAAATTTATAAATAACACAATACTCATCTTGTACATTTACAATTTTTAAAAAAACATATTTATTATAAAATATGTATATGCACATTTGGTCTATGCATAATATTAACCACATTTAAATTTACAGCTCCTCACTATACCAGACAGAAGTAGGGGTGGACACGGTACGGTTCCGGGACGGTTCCGGTTCCGGAACCGCCGGTTCCGGTACCGCCACCCCTTGGTACCGGTACCGGTACCGGTTCCGGTTCCGGTACCGCCGGTTCCGGTACCGTTTCGGCCACCCCTGATTTTGTTTTTTTTTGCTTTTTTATTATATTTTTAAAATGTAAAATTGTAAATGTGTAATTGTTAAAGGAAATGATGAAATAAAAAAATCTAAAAAGAAATTGATAAAGGAAAGAATGAAATAAAAAAATAAAAATAAAAAAAATTAATAACGGTACCGGAACCGGAATCGGAACCGCCGGTGCCGGTACCGAAAAATGGGCACCGGAACCGGTACCGGATTGGGCGGTACCGGTACCGGTTCTCGGAACCGGTGGACCGTACCGGCCGACGGTAACGGTACCGGAACCGGCGGTACCGTTTCCGGTACCGGTACTGTACCGGTACCGTGTCCACACCTAGACAGAAGCATGGGCCTACCAGCATCTACTCTAGCAAAAAGAAGAGACAACATGAAGTAGTATCGTCAAGACTCAAGATATAGCGGCGAGAAATTACAACGACGAAAAGCAACAATGGCAAGACCAAGCGAGAAGCAGCAACGACAAAATCCAACGAGGTAAGATTTTGAAGATATCGATCGAACGACATCATTGCACTGTATCATGTATAATAAGTACCATAACTCCAACGAGATTTCCTACTTTTCTAATAGTGTATTTTTTTAAGTCATTCATTCATCTTTTGTTACACTATCCACCTTTTATGTGTTTTCTTTAGCAATAGCATAGACACAAAGCTTACACAAAACAACGGTAAAACTTGGGAAGTTTATACCTTGGAGAGGACCTAATCAAAATGAAGGGTATAGGGAATAATTTCTCTAAATATATTTTACTCAATTGAAGAACAAAAGTACAACTTTCCTTAGACTGCCACAAGAAACAAGCAATAAACTGTACATTCCAACTTACAAAAGGCATATTGCCACATCAGTTCTTGTTCTCATCTTGCTTAATATTGTTCATTGGTGGTTGCAGTAACTGAGAATCAAAATGAGAGAAGAATGGCATGGGAACTCTTGAAATACCAGTAACGCCCCTTGCAGTATTGATCTCTACTTGCATCTCAAGAGTTTTCGGGTGAGAATCAATTTCCATTGCATGACTACTGCTACTACAACTACCAACTGGATCTTTTCTATCACCATCAGCCTGCTGACCAAAAGCCATGTGTGATATATTATTCACCTTAGCTTCAGCTTGTTTGTCGCGCTCAGAAGAAATCGCTTCAATGATGATGTCAGCCCTAGTGCTTGAAGAACGCCCTGATGCAACAGTAGCTGTGGGGAAAGCCTTCTCTGGAGGGACAGCTGGACTGTAGTTCGAGGGGAGCAGATCATCCCAGTTTTCCAGAAGTTCCTTGTACACTTTTCGAAGCGTGACCTCAGTGAGTCCGGTTACCTTGCAGATTTCAGCTTGGGTCTTTCGCTTATCTTCGAGCTGGCAGGCTAAATATATTGCAGCGGCGGAGATGCTGATGGGGTTTCTGCGAGTGCAGAAGCATTTATTCATTACCACCTCGCCGATGTGAGTCGCTAGCTCCTGTAACATAACGTTTTTGTAATTTGTTGGTAAAAGTCACTCGTACTAATAAAGCATTCTGTAAATGATGTTTGCTATGAAGAAAACTCAGCCCTTCAGTTATACGAGAATGTTTTTCCCAAGAATATTTAGAGTGCGTGAACTTGACATTAGATGTTTTTCCCTCCCTAGTAAACCCAGCACTTCAAATAGAAGATAATACGTCTGTCCCAAAAAGAGATTCACATTTGATCAAGCTTATGTTAGTAATCAACAAGTACTCGCTACTTGGTTCATACTGCAGTAGGCTACCTAGTCAGAACAAATTACAAAGGACTAGAAGGGTAAAGAATAGATACTGAAGAATGAATTCCAGCCACAATTCTTAGAGTTTACTTGGTAACTTGTACATTCCTGACATATTGCAAAGGTGCGGCACTAGCTAGAGCTTAATGCATCAAGACTGACTGGCAAAGTAGAGCACATTGACTAAATAAGCTCCCTAGTAATCTTACATAGGATGGTTTGCAAATTTATTTCTCAATAATGATTAACCTCCAGAAGGATTATTTTGGGTTCGTTTTCCTCTTTTGTGCAGTGTGGCCAAACAAACATGATACTGGGAACAGTTTGTTAGTCTGTCTTGATATTCTCATACATTCCTTTAATGCCCAAGGACTCCTGCTCAAAGACATAATAAGCCTGGATCCTATTCAGGGAATAATAGGGGTCACACGGCATCTAAATGGAAAGAAACTTGGTGTGAAAAGAGAGCCGCCTAATTAAGAAAAAATAGAACATGATAATATAACCTACGTTTGTACGGCAATGAATTTTTTTCTTTTTTCAAATTAATGATAATAATATAAGAATATAACATACAGTAACCAAAAAGTGTTAAATAAAAAACAAGCTTTTTATAGTCTATATGCGGCATCTAACATTAAGCACACAAAATATAGAATTGCAACCCAAATGGCACCACAGAGGGCTGACAAAATACCTGAGCAGATTTATTCAGTTGAAGAAGTGTACAAAACCGTGGCATATGGACTGATATCGAATTGCTATTAATAGGTTGACTTAACTGTAGAGCTTCTCCAAGGATCTTGATATACTTTCCAATTTCTTTTTGAGGTAAATTGGCAGCAAGTGATATTTCCTGATATGAAAGATTACACATGACATATACTTAGAATAATCAATAGTTTTCCAGTTTCCAAATATTGTTACCATCTACTATATATAATATTGCATCAAAAAAATTAAGACAACAAGCTAATAGGTTGTTGTTGTCCCATTCAAATCACCTCCCAGACCCTACATTTGTGGGATTCTACTAGGTTGATGTTGTCCCATTCAAATCACCCAGCCACATTAATTTTTTTGGGTTATGCATTTACGACTGTCGTTTTGATGGGCAACAATGACATGGTGACCATCACTAGTGGTGGCGCAGCGAGGAACGAAAATGGTTGTGGCGCACTGACAAATGTGGTGGTGTACTCCTTAGATACCAGCTTCAAGCTTTCAACTAGCACTTGCCACTTGTTCAACTCTTTGGTCATCTGTATCAACTTTGGGCTCATCATTGATAAACAAATTCTTAGACTCACAACTTGTAGGATTGGTGATCATAAGCTCTTTGGATTCATAGGAAGCATCCCACTTGACTTCACAATCAAATGAACCCCGTGATTCTCCTGTGATAGTCTTGCATATACTGAATATTATGGGTTGGTAGAGTGCCTTCAGATTCTCCTTTAATAGTCTTGCATTTACTAAATATACCCCGTGACTTTCGTTACCAAGCATTATCAGCACTTCTGATCGATGGCCTCCTGAGTAACTACTTCTAACACTTTTGATTTAAACAATAGTTGTTGACCTCTTTTTATATTCCACAATCAAATCCTCAAATATATGCAGTACTAGACGGTGGTCATTGTTTTCCTTTTTACATTTTTAATGTGTTATGGACTGAAACCATTGCAAGGTATGGGACTTGTCCCACATCGGTTGTATGGGCAATTGATGTGGGGTTTATAGGCCAAATGGGTTCCCTCACCTATCAGACTAGTCTTTTGGGTTGAGTTCTTCCGTTTGGTCTGTAACATAATGCTTATTTCCAAGACTATTGAATGATATAATGTGGTTAAGCTCTATCCCGTGATTACCTCACAATACTTAATTACTACCGAATCACAATTTTCTTTCTAGTAATACGAAAGTCTATTGCTCGATAGTATTGAAGATGATCTTTTCTTATACTTGGTCCGTCCTTGAGTGTTTGTCCACTTTTGACTTTTGGAACTGTTTATCTAAGCACTTTGACTCATCAAATTATCTCAATGTTGTAAGCCTAAAAATAGTCATGTGTGATCTTGTTTGATTCGTCTTAACATATAGATTATTAATATATAATTTTTATAATTTTTTAATATACAAATTACAAGATAAAATGGATTAAAGAAGTGCATTGGATGGTGTGCAAAAATGAAAGTGGACAAACACTCAGGGACGGAGGGAATACTACATATGTGAAATTTGCTCCTCCCTCATCCCAATGACAGTATATGTATGCCACTGAGAAATTTGGTACAACGCCATTTTCATTTCTTAACTCACAGTCATAGCATATACTCCATTTACATATGCTTTTCTTGCCAACTCCTACGAGCACAATCAAATCTACTCATATGAATTAGGAAAATATCATCAAACAACCTGCTCACATAATGCATGGTACAAATGTAGATCTTCTTCCCTAGATAACTCAACTCATTTTTTTACAGTTCCTCAAACTAGTTTATCAAAGTACTTGAAAATGAAAACTTTTAAGGCAATAAATTTTTAGACCATATTACATTATATAAGCCTATGAAGGGGTTCCATTTCTGGGAGCAGTATATTAGATATATACCCATATACCTGAAGCGTTCGGGGTTCTTGAGCTTCCCTGATAGCTTGAACAAGAGCAGCAGAGGCAAGCGCCTCGATGCTCCGATTCCTCAAGCAAGTGGATGAAGAGCAGTCTCTGAAGAGCTGAAATGCGTGGTCGGAAATATCATACTCCAGTCCCAGGATTGAAGCCACATCGATAATCTGCAAATATGCCCTAATGTTATCCACCACCGCAGAGGGGCTCGAAGGATTTGAAGGGGAAGATGTAGTTTCGAGCACGCGTTCAAGCTCGGCTAGATGTCCGGCGAAAGAAATGGAGGATTGGGCGAACACCGGGTATGGCTCGAGTGACCATGTGGAGAAGGCGGTGATGAAACCGGTGGGCTCAAACGGGTCTTCGTCGTCGTTGTTGGAGGCGCCGGAAGCGGTGGCGGAGACGGGAAGGGTGGGGAGGTCGGAGGTGACGAGACATAGTGGGGAGTCCTGTGCGCGAATGTGGAAGAGGTGGTGGGGCTGCGTCTGGCGCTCCTCCACAACACGGCCGCAGGAGCTGCACTCGGTGATTGATCGGCCGCTCGATGTGGTGGCGCACCGTCCCTGGGTCGCTGCGCAGTACGGACACCGCATTCTTTTTTCAGCTTTTGCGACTTTGCTGGCTCCTCTCTTTTGGATTTGGGCTGGACCCAATAGTTTTAGATGCTCGGATCCACATCTAGTCTCTTTGCCAATACTAATCTACTAAGGCTTGTAATCTGGAAAAATGCATTGTTTGAGAATACTTGATTTAGAAGACAATGATGAAGAAATTAGAATGCCAAGTCAATACTCCCTCCGTCCCGGAGTATTCGTCCAGTTTTGACTTTTGGAATTGTTCATCTAAGCATTTTGACTCATCAAATTCTCTCAATGTGTAAGCCTAAATATAATCATGTGTGATCTTGTTTGATTTGTCTTACCATATAGATTATTAATATATAATTTCTATAATTTTTTAATATACAAATTACAAAATAAAATGGATTAAACAAGTGCATTAGATGATGTGTAAAAATGAAAGTAGACAAATACTCTAGGACGGAGGTAGTATTAAAGATTCTAAAAACTTCTTGTAAACGACATTTGTCTTTAGTATTTGAAGTTGCCAAGTGAATACGTTCAACCCACGATAATTGATTAGCCGTGAGATTTTTTAGAAATAATTTGACTCAATAGTCTTGAATGTCGTGATCCAGATCTACTCTCTTTGTCAATATTTATAACGTTTTAAGTTTTAAATGGTACTAAAAGTATTTTTAATCCAACAAAGTGCTTCAAAAAGTGGCCTAACACAATTTGATGTGTGCAAATGAAAGAAAATAGTAATACAACGATTTAAAAAGTTATCAACGGATAGCATTTAGTGTTAATATTTTCAAAATTAATACACACTCATTAACATTTTATTCAAAATGTTATTACTAATTAAACATTATTTTCAAACGTGCACTGTGCACATAATAAAAGATGTTTAAAAAATTGGCTAGATCTAGACGAGAACAATAAGATCCTACTTCCATTCAAATAGGCCAAGCCAAAAATCCGGCGTGACACAATGCTTTTATTTTATTTTATTTTTTTTGTTTACTTGAGGGGGCCTTGGCTTATTGTTGGGTCGGCGTTGCTTTCAACATATGCTTTGACTTGGATCCAAGCCCACCGACACGGCTTCTCTCTCTGTTCATCCCAAGCCGGTGACCCGCTAAACATCTTCCATAGGTCTCTCTCTCTCTCTAGATCGCTATCCGAGAGTGAAGATCATACGTTCAGAAGAAGATACTGTTCATATCCTGCTCAATCCACAATGGGAAGAATCAAATAAAAGGTGAAGACGAGAATATTTCACAGTTTTCATTTTCTTATTATCATAGAAAGCTTGTCGGATTCGGAGCAATCGAAAATGAAGGATGATGGCGCGCTTCCGGTATCTACTCCGACGGCGTACTCGACACCGTCGACGACTATTTCCTCGCATTCGAGGAAGGAGAATTCCAGTCAGACTCTCTTCGGCCGAGGAAGATACAAGTTCTGGGCGTTGGCCGCTATTCTACTGCTCGCCTTCTGGTCCATGTTCACCGGCACAGTCACTCTCCGGTGGTCCGCTGGGAATCTAAGCCGTTTCTCAGATGAATTTGACATTCCCATGTACGATGATCTTGACGTCCTCGTGAGTTTCCCAACCCAATCTTTGATTGATGATGGATATACTGTGACCCGTCCAGATTTGTTTACTGATCTAGGCTTTCCTATGCTCAACCTATAATTAATTATTGTATCTATGATTGTATAGTTTGGCTAGAGATAAATTGGGCAAGAGATAAACCCACCCGAAACAAAATCAGGCCATGATCTCCTTATCTTCCTAGAAGATGGAACGTGGTATTCAGTGACTTGACACTTGGATTGAACCTTGTTCCTGTAAATACTCTTACTCCATTCCCCTCAATGCCAGGAGGGGGGGAGAGAGATTTCTTAGTACACAAGATTATTTTTCTTACCATGGGTTACTCAATATTAATTTCCATCAGTCAATTTATGGGGTGGGAAAATTCTTCAATTTGACAGGAAATGGAGGAGAGAGAGAAGATGGTGAAGCATATGTGGGATGTGTACACCAATGGTCGTCGGATCAGATTGCCGAAGTTCTGGCAGCAAGCCTTTGAGGCCGCTTACGAGGACTTAACCAGCGATGAGCCCGAAGTGCGAGAAACTGCCATTTCCGAGATCGCTAAGATGTCCATTCGGTCCATCTATTTTGAAGCACCACCTCTTCACACGTCGGTTAGTGTCCTTTCTTATTTTTTTTATTCAACTTTTCAGACGTATGCCCCCCTGCTATAATGATATTGGATTGTGAGGTGAAGAGTTGACTAACTGTTGGAGTAGAAAGTCAGCTGTTCATCAAATCAGTTTAAGAATCCAAATAATGGCCATGGTTTGAGAATCGAGGTCTACCATTACCATTGCCGAGTTTAACTCTAAGTGTGGTGTTGTGTGTTTAGTTCTATGTGCCAATGAAAATTAGGTTGGTTGGGAAATCACAGTGCTACTGCTAAAGATTAGAGAGTGCTACCAAACGGTGCCTAATAGTTATCAGCTGTGGTATCGATTGTATAGTGCACTGAATAACTATGGCCTCTTTGAGAAATGCAGTATTACCATATTTAAGTATGGTCATGAAAAGTTTGAGTAGATCGGTGGTTCTTTATTACGGTGTAGTTCGTACTACTTGACCAGTGGGAGAATTATATAATGCAAACTTCATGTTACATAAGCCACAAACATAAAGATTCTATAATTACATACTAAAACTTCCATGGTACTGCTAAAGTGCTAATCATGGATAAAAAAGTTTTATGCTAATCTAAAAGTGAATGTACACCTAAAAAGTTATTTGGAAGAAAAATTATAATCTGAAACTTGACTAATGAACGAAACAAACCAATTATGAAAAAAGATATCCCATTTTGCTTCCTTAAAAAGTTTGGTTTTTTGTATGCACATGTGTTTATCGGGATGGAATCACAATTTTGTTTATGTCAGTATGCTATAATGAGCATGAAGTTGTGCATCCTTTATCGTTCATATACAAGTACATTTTTATATGAATATGGTCATTCATATACATTTTTTCATAAAAAAAAGTTGCACAAGAAAAAGTATTTGAATATGTGTGGGCTGCGGCCCTAGATATGCAATTTGCATGGCTCTTTTAGTGTCGTGTTATACATAGAGAGATTGGGCTCTGAAGTTCATGCTCATGTTGAGACCTTTTGTAGTCTTTCCCTTCACCTTTACCATGAATTGTTATGCGTAACATAACATTTAGTGCAAATACTTAAGTAATGTGGTTCTATCTAGTGCCTCATTATCAGCTCATTTGAATAAGGAACTAGATGCCTTTTTTCCTTCCTACATTTGTGCGGCCTGTGCTGTGACTGATAATTCTCTTTTGATTCTCTTTATGATAAACTGGACTTGTCAAATGAGTTTATTTTCTGTTCGTAGAAAGAAACTGGTTCTCTTGAGAGAAGGTGGGAATCCGATTCCTCCAACAGTAGAATGAGGGTGTTTACCATTATTGGTTAGCATGTGGCTTCTGCGTGCAAACGGATGGCTGAGTGTTTGCACGACACACAAAAATCGGTTGCAGCTTAATTTCACCTCAATTTATTTACTTTCTCGGTAAAAGCTCAAAATTGAAGTTTTTCAGAACGGCATTCGTATAATAAACTATTGGGCGATGGCCAACAACACCCCCAAAGCAATTCCATGTAAAGTAATTACCATGGAAAGAATCAAACGCCCTCCCCCCCCCCACACCCATATAGCCGAAACCCCGAAGAGTTGTTGCTTTTATTGAATGCCCTCTTCTGTTTTGAAATTTTAATCACTATAATTGTATTTCGTTTCAGGCTATTCGGGAGTTATCAAATAAAGCAAGCAAAGTCCCAGAAGATGATCTCAGCAAGGAGTAACTTTCCATCTCCAAGAGTGGTTATGGATCTCAAGAAGGATTTGGTATGCACAATTTTCATTGTGTCATTCAAAATCTATACAAAATACACGCAATTCCCCTGTCTGAAAAGAAGAATTCAGCAAGAGGGGCAAAAAAACCAGTGTATTTAATTAGGCCCCATTCTTACTTTCCCCCCGTTTTCTTTCTTTCATTTTCTCGATGTTATTTGGATGAAGAGTGAAACATGGTGTTTATTTGATTCATTCATTAAATAGAAAATTTGCCCATGCCAAGGTCACTCCCACAATAATCACCCCTTTTCCCTGAATATATTTATGTGTTTCGCTGTGCTTATAAGCTGTTTATAAGTCATAAAAAATAAATTGATCTTACATACTTATTTTTAATTTTTATCATTCAAATTATTTAATTTTTATAAAATACGGAGTAATATTTAACTTATAAGTTAAAATAGCTTGCCTCAAATAAGTGAATAAGCACCGCCAGATAAAAGGGGGTAATACAAGGGACTTGATCGTCTCTTCGAGATCCTGGAATCAGAAACCTATGATGATGGATGCATAATTTATTTTTATTTTTAATGTGATGTTTTTTGCTCATCAAGATTCAATACAGCTTCGAGGTGGGTCATGCATGCTCTCTCCAATCATCTACACATATATACTCCCCCCCCCACCTTAAAACTATTTCTATTAAAATAGTGACATTAATTGACCACAAATTAAATATAATCTAGATGAATAAGTCTATAAAATTTTAACATATCAAAACTAAATCGTAAAATGAGTCCAATTATATTAAATTTATATTAGAATTTCAATATATTTTTCATATGATTTGTAGCCAATAGGTGTCACTATTTGATTAAAAAAAAGTCAAAACAAGAGAGTTTTTAGGAGACGGGAGAAATATATAATTTCTCTACTTTCCATCCAATTAAAATATGTGGGCGTCTTCATCAACTAATCTTCTAAGAAGGATCACTCCTTTGAATTTATGACCATCTGAGTTCTTCATTGCTTAAAAATGCTTCCTCCCTCTCACTTGATTCTTGAAGAGGAAAAACAACTTGTTTGTAGAGAAAAGTAATTGAAAAGTTCTCCCGAGTGGTATAAAGTAGAAGAAAAAAAGGTAATGGTTTGAATTTGAGGATGTGATATGAATTAAAAAGAAAAATAAGTGTAAAAAACATATTAGATTTATAAAAATGGCAAGTATAAAATGTCTTGTATTTAACACTATGAAGAACAATCGTATCCGTGCAAATGTAACTATGTGTGAACACATCAAAATAATGTCGGTGCTTACACATAATCATTTTAAAATATGGCACTTTACTACGGTAGACGTTTAAGCCTAGTAAGGTAGGTGTACGTCTGCCATTGTCATTGGTTAAAAACATTAAATGTATGTCTCGTTTGGTGTATTTTACCGCATAGATCATACCCTTGCTTTTTATTAATATCATTAAAAGAATTAAATGATTTCGTTTTTAAAAATAAACATTTTGATTTAGAAATGATACATTTGTGAAGTTATTATCATTTTTGTTTGTGACTAGCCCAAATACTCGAATTTCACATTTGGAAACACAACCAACTCGAGTAATTGACTAGAACCAGAAAAGTTAGGTCTAAAACATGAATTATGAAATAATCATTACTCCATAATAATCTAAAACAAACTTTTGTTTAAAAAAATCCTTTTTTTTCTAAAATAATATTTTTCCAAATCATTCCAATTTTTTTTTACATCTAAATTTAAAATTCGAACAGTTTATTCTACAAGTTGGGATATAAATTTGGTATCCCCTAGTACTGCTACTGGTTGATGTATCATTATTAGTACGAGAAGACGCATTAAAATCCTTTTGCTTAATTTTCTTTCTCCCGTCGGATCCGAATAATTATTAGAATCAAAAATCAAAATCACACTACACCAAAGGACTTTCTTTGCTCTCCCCCCCTCCCTTCCCTTGTCTGTTCACTCTTCTCACTCTAATTTCTCTCTCTACCTTATCGATTCCCCTACCAGCCTTGTGCCACCGGAGCCGTCTTGATAATTAACGCCGGAAAATTAATTACTGCTCTGTGATTCCGACGAGTAACCGATTCGACGGAAACTTAAGCTGCGGCGGCGGAGGCAATCACTTCTCGTACGGGGCCTTGAGAGTTATTAGCTGAATCTCACCCTTATTAGCTAGAGACCCATTTTCCTACAGCTGGAAATCCCCACCTTTTCCGGCTTCCCGGCGCCTCTTTTCCGGTGACTGGTAACCCGATTTCGTTTTCCAGTGAAGTTCGAGCTGATTTAGGATACTGGCTTTGTTAAGAAGCTTGCTTTATAATCTGGGCTGGCTTCGGAATTGCTGGTTGTTGGGTATTAAAGACAGATTGACCGGCAGATGCGGAGAAACAGGGTAGCTACAATCAGAACCCTAGTCTGAAATTTCTCGAGCACTATGCCTTGGGATTCTTCCGCTGTAGCTTCTTACAAAAAGGCCTGAAAACCACTTCCCCATGCCCACCGACAACTCCTTTGCCATGAACGACTCTGGCGAAGCCAGCGTTTCTTCCTCTGATAACCAAGCCCTTCTTCCAAAACAGACTACCAAGAAAAAACGAAATCTTCCAGGAATGCCAGGTGATTGCACATATTAGAGATATGCCGTTTTTTCAAATACCATTGGTTACAAATAAGATTGAGGCTTTTATATGTTCTTGGGTTAATCTTGTTTTTGTGTGATTTTGAATGTTTAAGATCCGGATGCGGAGGTGATTGCTTTATCACCAGAAGCACTGTTAGCTACCAATAGATTTGTGTGTGAAATCTGCAATAAAGGGTTTCAAAGAGACCAGAATTTGCAGTTACATAGAAGAGGGCACAATCTGCCATGGAAGCTGAGGCAAAGGTCAAGCACGGAGGTGAAGAAACGGGTGTATGTGTGCCCTGAACCAACATGTGTTCATCATGACGCTTCACGAGCACTTGGCGATCTCACCGGAATCAAGAAGCATTTCTGCCGGAAACACGGTGAGAAGAAGTGGAAATGTGACAAGTGCTCCAAGAAGTATGCGGTCCAGTCCGATTTGAAGGCTCATTCTAAAATCTGTGGCACCAAAGAGTACAAGTGCGATTGTGGGACTTTGTTCTCAAGGTATAGAATCCTCACTCCTTCAAGAATCACACAATTGTTTTTGTTATTCATGAGTAGTTCGGTATTACGTGGGAATGAGAGTTTGAGAACTAGAAGGTGGGGTTGAGATTAAGGGACATTACCCCTGCTCGAGAGTAGTAGTATCGTGGAGATGTTGTTTCCAAGAGACTTCCCGGATCAGGTTAAGAATTCATTAAATAGTAAACTTATCTTTATCTTGTTTGGGTGGTATTAGGAATAGATCATGAATACATGGCTTCAATAACTTCATATGTGGGAATAAGAGTTGGGAGTGGGAATTGTCTATGATGAATTCTATTTCATTCATTAGAATATTACAATTAACTTGTTTGGTTGATATTTGGAATATATTTGGATTAAAATCAAACAATACTCTATATTGTATTGTATTGAAACCTATTTAGAGTGGAGTAATAATCAAACCCTGCAACTCTGTGTGCAGGAGGGATAGCTTTATTACACACAGGGCCTTCTGTGAAGTATTAGCAGAAGAGAGTGCCAAAGCACAAGATGTTGTAGCCCCAATCTCTGAGGCCCCGAAGCCTGCTTCACCGTCACAACCGCTGCCTTTGTCACTGTCACCGCCACCGTCACCTCTGGATCTGGCACCACCATCACCGCCACAACCGTCAGCAGCCCCACAACCTCCACCACCAGTCGTTCCTCCAGCTTCCACTGTAATATCCTCAACTTCATCTGTAAAAACCCCAGGTACATTTTTTTTTTTGGCAAAAAATATTTGGAGGTTTGCTGTCTTAGATGTCCCTTAAACTTTTAGTACACTTGTTAGGAAAGCCTATTTAAAGGAGTAGGGAAAAAACTAATGCAATAAATTTTGTTTAAACAAGCAAGTCATATCTGTATGGCCATTAAGATGTGAAAATCATGGAACAAGCCTTTTAATAATGCAAGGAGTTTACTTCGTTTGGAATTCCTTCGTATTCCCTCTCGGGAATTGTGTTTGGATGCCCATGTTTGGTTTGGAGAACACATGAAATTAAATCTTCCCAGAATCCCGGATTCCTGAGTCCGCAAAAAAAAATCTCATTTCATATAATGCATACTCCATCCGTCCTATACAAAAACTCTTGTTGCTTGACTGAGGTACAACTTTTTAATCTTTGGCAAGGTACATATACTACGAGTCACAAATGAAACGAATATGTATATTTCTTTTGTAATTTTTGCTAGTGTGTTTTCATGCCTTAATCCGTAGCTTGAAACAGTCTCTATACTTCCAAGTACCTGTTCACTCTTTTCGGGCTCTACTTTTTTGCGGGATTCAACTGGATTTTTTGTTGTTGCTGTATATACGAGTTGCCAAATTATACTCTATCCACCCCAAAACATGCCTCTTTTTATGGCACAGAAAGAGTAGGTCCTGTAGAGCAAAAGTAGGTGGGAGTTATGTTTTTCATTTAAGCATTCATAATATGATGAGGAAATAAATGCTAGCTAGCTCTCATTATGTGCATCTGTTTCTTTAATCATCACCACTCATAATGCAGAGTTGCTGGAGTGCACAAATGAAAATGCAAATGGATTCATGGGGCCCACACAAGTTGTCGAAGAAACAACTGTGGTTACGACGAGCTTTGCCGGGAGCAGTCACGTCAGCGGCAGCGTATTCGCGAGCCTATTCGCGTCAGCAAATGCACCCGCAACGCTGCACTCCCAAACACCCGTTGGCCGCAACGATAACGCCTTTACGGACATGTTTGTGACGCCCATGGTTGTGCCCGAACCGCCCGCGCCATCGACCGAACCGGTATCTCTTTGCCTCGCGATGAGTCACGGTTTCGGTCAGGACCGGAGACAGTACGCTCCTCTGTCGGCGGCAACCCAACCGGCGATGTCTGCAACGGCACTGCTTCAGAAGGCCGCTCAGATGGGTGCGTCTGCCACCGGCTCATCGTTGTTGATGGGCCTGGACATTGTGTCTGCTTCATCTAACGGGCCACGCGGCGAGTTCAGAGGGAGGCAGTTTCTCGACACGGACTGCGGTTTCGGGCTCGGGCTCGGGCTGCAGTGCGACGGAGGTTCGGGCCTGAAAGAACTCATGTTGGGGACCCCGTCGGTTTTTGGTCCCAAGTATCCCACCCTCGACCTGCTCGGGTTAGGAATGGCGGTTAGCGGTGGCACCACTTCCACCGGTTTATCTGCGCTGGTGACATCCATTGGCGGCGGCGGCGGGAATGTGGACATGGCAGCCGCCGCAGGCTCGTTTGGGAGCGGAGATGCTCGGAATAGTGATGAAAGAGATACTTTCCTCTAATTAAGCTAAAGATATTGATTGGGTGTGCATATGTGATTTGTCTGTTTTGCCCCCCCGTAACGGGTTGAATTGGTTCCATATATTAGCTCTGATTGACTTACACTATGCATGAACCGAGGACGAGCCCAAGGCTAGTCATGACCGTTACAGTGTTTTATTTGTAACGTTTTGGGCGCGCGCGCGCGCACACACACACACATATATATAGGAGCAAGTTTAGGTATTATATTGAAAAATGATATATGTTTTAGTATGTACTATTTAGAGTAAATTTCACTTTTATAAATTCATTTTTATAAATTTCGTTTCTATTGGAAGAAATAAAACGTGGTATAATTACATACTTGCTCAGCTTTTATCCGAACCTTGGAGTATTAGAAAGTCATTGTCGGGGCTTTATTTAGAAAGGAAGATAAAAATGCGGTGTTAATATTGGCTTTATTCCTCTCACAATTCAATAAATTAAACTTATACGGCTGCAAAAAGTGTTGAAAACTGAAATACCTATACTCCCTCGGTTTCAAAACAAGGATTTTTTTAGTGTTTGGTCGAAGTTATTTTTAAATCAATATAAATAAACATTGGATGATGTAGAATTAAAAGGTAGTATAAATTACACCGTATATATTAAAAAAATTATATAAAAAGTTTCATCTATAAATATAGAGAAACATAAAAAATTCATGTAGTTGAAATTTATCCGTCAGTTGTGTAATTAAACATCATCCAGAATCCGTAGGTGCATTTTAGCCTCTTGCCTTCGAATTATTATTATTTACATTACGAAGTGTTTGCCCGGTTTTGATTTTTTTTCAAAATATGGATATTATTTTATCTAATTGACATATTATATAATTTTATTTTATTATTGTAAAATGAAGAAACACTTTTGAGACAGAATAGAATATTATTATGTGTGATAAAGGTTGAATTGCAGATCGGCAATGGAGCATATATGGTGAGTGGAGAACAGTGGTGTGAATGTGGGTGAACCCTGCTCTGCTCTTACTTATTGGCCGGTCTTAACACTCATTCAATTCTAAAAACTCATCATGTTTGACATCAAGAATTTCACATTAAATATTTTACAAAGGTATACAATTTTTTTCTTTGTGTCACACAAATAGTTATTGCAGGGGTTCCCATAACATTGGAATCCCAAGTCATGCGATGACACGAGACCGTTATGGTGCTGTGTTCGTAAAATTGATGAATTCTACCCACAAACCTCCGGTAAATCCCCCACCATGCCTGATGGGTGTATTTCACCCAAGACTGGTCAAAGGAGGAGGTCAAATCTTTGACCGGTCAACCTCGAAAGTTTTCGAAGGGAGACTTAAATCGTCAGCAAAACGATATATCATCGGCCAAAATATGACCGGTACACTTCACAAAAAAGTCTACCGATCAAACTACGCTATCATCCTATTTATTCCAGACTTCGATGAATTCACCTCTCGGAGATTACCCGGTGTAGTTTCTGAGGTTGGAAAGTGTCGGCATAGGAGAATCTACGAGGGCTTGGCGTGTAGCGACCCGTGTCAGTAGAGGACGACTGGAGATTCTGAAGAATCCATCCAAGGCACTACCTGACAAAGGGAATAATCCCCCTCACAAGGCGACAAGGTAGCTAAGAGACGAGGCCCATCACCTCTCAACATCCGAGACACGTGCCTCCACGTGGGCGCACGTGGTCCTGTCCCCTTAGCCTAGTATAAATACTCATGTAAACCTCAGAAAGAGGGATCCGAATTGACTCTCTCTAAACTCCCTTGTAAAAGCACCCGTGCATTCTCCGTTATAGTATAAATC